TATATATATATCTATCTATCTATCTATCTATCTATCTATCTATCTATATAATATATATATATAGGTTTAAACACAAAGAAAAAATAAGGTTAAGTGACTTGGGGCTCCTGCTGTGGCAAATGAGAACAATTCTGGTAGAGGAGATGTTGTCACATTTTGGGCATTTGAAAGCTTCATTTCTATTTGTGGACATACGCTGTTTAAAGGATTCTCTCTTGGCGTCATCATTTTTAATTCGTGAAGCCTCACGACAATATGACTTTCTGCCCACCGTGACTACTGCTCTCCAGGTAGATATATCAGGAGCTGGACTCTTCCATATCAAGGGTTAAATCTTGAAGTCCTTCAGCAGCATTTCTATGGTGTCTTTATATCGTTTTTGGTGGGCCAATTTTACCCTTCGATGAGTACAATTCAGAATAGAACACTGCCTTTGAGATTCTCAAATCAGGAATTCTCACGACATGGAAAACCCGGCGGAGTTTAGTTTTTTTTAACTACCCTCCTGATAAACCCATATTATTCTACGGTTTATTCGGTATTTAAAAACAACACCAAAAACATTAAAAAAAACAACAATGAGGCATAAAATCTGGGATGTTCTTGAAATGTTTATAAATTGAATGGTCGTGTTCCATTCTGCATGCTTGGTGATAATGTTTTTGTTTTTTGTTTTGTTTTGTTTAATTTGTGTGTGTGTATGTGTGTATGTGTGTGTGTGTGTATGTGTGTGTGTGTGTATGTGTGTGTGTGTGTGTGTGTGTGTGTGTGTGTGTGTGTGTGTGTGTGTGTGTGTGTGTGTGAGTGTAGGAGAGGGGTGTTTTTAGGACATTGGTAAGCGGTACTTTTGTTCACTCTTATTCAATCCCCCTCCCTCCGTCAGTCCATGTCCCCTCCCCCCCCCCATCTCTGCTTCTTCCCCTCCTCTACCCCTCTCATCCACCTCTCCCCCCCCCCTTTACTCCCCATCCCCTTCCCCCTCTTCACCTCTGCCAACCTCTCACTTAACCTCTCCTCACCCCAACCCCAGCCTCAGAAGAATAAAAATCAGCAACAACACCCTTACCACCCGAACCCCCCCCCCCCCCACACACACAAAACAAACCCAACCAAAACCCAAAAACTCAGATAAAAAAAAAAAACCTTCACAAAACCTAACAAACGTATGTGTGATCAGATTCTGCCCGTATAAATGCATGACCACGCCCAGTCACGCTTGCACGGAAGAGTGCCAATGTCTGGGGGCCCGGTGCGAAATGCACGAAGCTGTATAAAGTGTGAACGTCCCTTGCACTATTTAATTATTGTGAGGTTGTGTGAGAGTGTCGTTATCTCAGACAGGCTCATTAATCAATGTACAAAAGCCTGCGTGCTTTTCAGTATTGCCTTTTGATCAGACCGAGGTCCCTTCCACATTTGTAAATCATGAAATGGCAGCGAAAAACAATGTAATATAATATTTCATAAGGACAGTGCCATGTAATTGTTTTCATCAGGACGTCATAGAGCAAGCTGTACATCTATACAGTTTTGCTGCCCCCCCCCCCCCCCCCCCCTTTCCATCCATCCTCGGGAGGATTGGGGTGGAGGGATTGGGGGGGGGGGGGGGGAGACGGA